GTCCAATTGAGTCATAATGTCTGTTAGTTCCCTTATTTCCCTGTTAAGTTTCTGCCTGGTGAGAGTGGGGTGTTGAAGTCGCCCACTACTAGTGTGTGGGGTTTGATGTACAATTTAAGCTTTAGTAATGTTTCTTTTATAAATGTGAGTCCCCTTGTATTTGAGGCATGAATGTTCAGAATTGAGACTTCATCTTAGTGGGTTTTCTCTGTGATAAATATGTAATGTCCTTCCTGATCTCTTTCAACTGATTTTAGTTTGAAGTTTATTTTATTAGATATTAGAATAGCTACTCCAGCTTGCTTCTTAAGTCCATTTGTTTGGAAAGTCTTTTCCCAACCTTTTACTCTGAGGTAGTGTCTGTCTTTGTAGTTGAGGTGTGTTTCTTGTATGCAGCAGAAGGATAGATCCTATTTTTATATCCATTCTGTTAGCTTGTGTCTTTTTATAGGCAAATTGAGACCATTGATATTAATGAATATTAATGACCAGTGATTGTTAATTCCTGTTATTTTTTGGTGAAGGTGTTGTATGTTTCCCTTCTTTGGTATTTGTTGATGTGGGATTATCTATTGCCTGTGTTTTCATGGCTGTATCTAATTTCCATAGGTTGGATTTTTCCTTCTAGTGCTTTCTGTAGGGCTGGATTTGTGGATAGGTATTATTTAAATCTGGTTTTATCATGGAATATTTTTTTACTCTGTCTATGGCGATTGAGAGTTTTGCTGGGTATAATAGTCTGGGTTGGCATCCATGATGTCTTAGTGTCTGCATAATGTCTGTCCAGGACCTTCTGGCTTTCAGAGTCTCCATGGAGAAGTCAGGTGTTATTCTGATGGGTCTGCCTTTATATGTTACTTGGCCTTTTCCCTTTGCGCTCTTAATATTTTTTTCTTTATTCTATATGTTTAGTGGTTTGATTATTATGTGGCAAGGGGACTTTTTTGGAATCCAGTCTATTTGGTGTTCTGTAAGCTTCTTGTATCTTCATAGGCATTTCCTTCTTTAGGTTGGGAAAATTTTCTTCTATGATTTTGTTGAATATATTTTCTGTGCCTTTGAGTTGGTATTCTTCTCCTTCTTCTATCCCTATTATTCTTAGCTTTGGTCTTTTTATGGTGTCCCAGATTTCCTGGATGTTTTGTGTTATGACTTTGTTGGCTTTAGAGTTTTCTTTGACTGATGAATCTATTTCTTCTATCGTATTTTCAATACCAGAGATTCTCTCTGAACTCTTGCATTCTGTTGGTTATGTTTGCATCTGTAGTTCATGTTTGTTTACTCAGATTTTCCTTTTCCATCATTCCCTTAGTTTGTGTCTTCTTTATTGTCTCTATTTCAGTTTTCAAATCTTGAACTGTTTCCTTCACCTGTTTAATTGTTTTTTCTTGGTTTTCTTGGCTTTCTTTAAGGGATTTGTTGATTTCTTCCAATTTTTTGTTTGTCTTTTCCTCGATTTCTTTATGGGAAGTTTTTGTTTCCTCTTTAAATTCCTCTATCATCTTCTTAAAGTCATTTTTAAGGTCAGTTTCTTTTGTTTCTTCTGTGTTGGGATGTTCTGGTCTTGCTGATGTAGAACCACTAGGTTCTGGTGGTGCCATATTGGTTTTTATGTAGTTGACTGTATTTTTGCATTGGCATTTACTATTCTCTTCCTCCACTTGGTGCAAGCAGTGTCTGTGTCTGAGGGAGCCTCTCTTGGTCTGATTGATACTCTTGGTCCAATTGGAGCTCTTGGTCCAATTGATGCTAATGGATCTGTGTCTCAGGGAGCAGCTGTAGTCTCAGAAGGTGGGTGGGTTTGGGGATGGAGTGGGGCTTATAGGTTACAGGGTCCTATGGGGGATGGTGGTAGTTTGGCCTGCCTGCAGGAGACCTGCCTGTTGGCCTGATACTGGGACTACAATAGGTGGTAGTGTGGGGGCACAGGGTTGTGCCCCTGGGCCCAAAGCCTAGAGACTAGGGTGTTCAGCTGTAAGAACAAAGACTCACCTCTTAGTCCAATCAGTGCTGTCAGCCTACATTACATTTTTAAATGAGTTGCATAGGTACAATACCTTAAATAAGAGTAGAAGCATACATATAGTATATTATAACAAAAATAACTTTAGACTTGTATCAATACACAAAAATCCATACTAATCTGGAATATTTGAGACTAGTAATTGCTTTTTAGTCTAAATGTAGATTTGACAATCTACCTTTCATCCTATCATTATTATACCCCCATTTTTTCTTTTCAGAAAGAGATCCCTGAATCTAACTTCCTTTGCTTATTTTTTCTCTATGACTGGTAACAACTTGCAACCATCCCCTCCTAAATGATAATAAACATCCATAACCCAACAAGCAAACAAAAACCACCTACCTCATCTCTTGGGAATATGGGTGTTGTGTTCTCTAGACTGCTTCCTGTTGTCTGGAGGTGATGGTATCCTTAGGTACCCTGAGAAAATTGGGGTAATGGTCAAGTCCTGGGAGAGCTAACTGTTGTTTAGTCTCTGTGTGATAGGAAAGTGCAGAGCTTATCTGAAGTCCTGGCTGGAGTAGTCTGTGAGCTGGACCATCTCAGCTATCAGCTTTGAAGTTGTTCTAAAAGCAAATATTTGAGGAAACTGCACCAAAGGTATTCTAAGAGGCTGGATCACCTGGGCTACTTGTCTTCATTGGTGGCTGGTCTCTTTTTTTTCTGAAAACACACAAACTTTTAAAGGTAACATACATATCTCCCTTAGCATAAGTATGGGATGTGCAGAGTGCAAGTCCATTAATGATAATTTTCTGTTCTATGTTTGAGCAGATAAAAGGCATCTGTCAACTTTATAAGTATGTTTGGACTGTATAACCAAACTATCATAAGGACTCTGTAGCCAACAAGATTTATCATGTCTCATTCATTCTCAGAGCTGTTCCCATGTAGAGGGATCAGCTTATATGTCATTGGTCTTGTAGTTTTTCTTGATTTCTTCCTTCATGTCTGCAACCAAGATTTTTGGAGATCTCCCCCAATCAAATCTGATCTTTATTAATTTTGAAGGAATCTATACCTTTTTGTTTCCTATGGAAACAAAGGTGTAACCTCTTCCTCAATGTAACACATTTCCTGACTTCCACTCTGAAGTTAAGACATCCTTAAAATATATAGGCTGTTTTTTTTTTTTTCTTTTGTTTTTCGAGACAGGGTTTCTCTGTGTAGCTTTGCGCCTTTCCTGGAACTCACTTGGTAGCCCAGGCTGGCCT